TCTATCTGCACTGTGTGAGTTTTAAAGAACTGAGAGTATGACTAATGGTAATATATATGACTACTGAAGGTAATGTACCATGATTATTCCATCTGTCAATTTGTCAAACTGTGGTAGGTTGTACATTGCTGTGATGCTGGAAGCTATGCCACTGACATTTCAAATACAAGTGGGGTCACCCATGGTGAACAGGCTGCACCTGAGATTCCAGACTAAGACAGACTAGGAAGAAGGAGCAGAAGTCTGCCAATTTCTGAAAAACTGGGCAGTGAAAACTTTATGAACATTGTCTGATATAGTGCTGGAAGATGAGCCCCTCAGGTTAGAAGGCACTCACCTGGGGAAGAGCTGTCTCCTCAAAGTAGAGTCAAACTTAAAGAAGTGGATGGAAGAAAGCTCATGGGATCTTTATTTGCTGATGTATCATGACTCAAAATGAGAAGACACAGCTGTAAATATCCATTAATAATCAGAATATGGAATGTATAAAGTATGGATCCAGGAAAACTGGAAGTCGAAAGTGAAATAGAACATATTTAGATTAACATCCTAGCATTAGTGACCTGAAATAGACTGGTACTAGCCATTTTGAATCAGATAATCATATAGTCTTCTATGCCAGGAATAAAAAATGGAAGAGGCACGGCATCACATTCATAGTCAAAAATAACATTTCAAGATCTACCCTTGTAGATCTTGTACAAAACTGTCAACGATAGGATAATACATCTACAAGACACACCAGTAAATACAACTGTTATTCAACTTTACACACAAACCACTAATGCTAAAGATGAACAAACTGAAGACTTTTACCAATTTCTGCACTCTGAAATTAGTCATACATGCAATCAAGATGCATTGGTAATTACTGGTGATTGGAATGTAAAAGTTGGAAACAACAAAGAAGGATAGGTGGTTGGACAACAAGACCTTGGTGACAGAAATGACTCCAGATATTGCATGATAGAATTTTCAAAACCAATGACTTTTTCATTGCAAATACCTTTTGTTTCCACAACATAAACAATGACTATACCCATGGACTTTGACAGATAGAATACACAAAAATCAAATCAACTATATCTTTAGAAGGAGCTCTAGTAGCATAGTGCCTAAGGCACCTGACTGCTAACCAGAAGGTTGGCGGTTCAAAACCAACAGCCACTCCTCGGAAGGAAGGGCAATCTACTTCTGTAGTGATACTGCCTTGGAAACCCAAGGAGGGGTTGCTATGAGTCAGGTCCAACTCAAGGGCACACAGCAACAACAACGACATATCTTTGGAAAGAGGTAATGGAAAAGCTCAAAATCATCAGTCAGAACAGGCCAGGGAATGACTGTAGAACAGACCACCAATTGCTCATATGCAAGTTCAAGTTGAAACTGAAGAAAATTTAAACAAGTCCACAAGAGCCAGAGCATGACCTTGAGTCTATTTCACTAAATTTAGAGACCATTTCAAGAACAGATCTGATGTATGGAACACTAATGACCAAAAAGGCCAGATGAGTTGTGGGATGCCAGAACGGACATCATACTCGAAGAAAACAGTTATTAAATGAAAGAAAGGAAAGAACAAAATGAATGTCAGAAGAGCCTCTAAATCTTACTTTTGAATGTAGAGTAGCTAAAACATATGAAAGAAGTAATGAAGTAAAAGAGCTGAATGGAAGATTGCAAAGGGTGGCTTGAGAAGACAAAGTTAAGTATTGTAACTAAATGTGCAAAGACCTGGAGTTAGAAAACCAAAAGAAAAAACACACTCAGCATTTCTCAAGCTAAAATAACTGGAAAAAAAAAAAATCAAGCCCCGAATTCCAATATTGAAGGATTATATGAGCGAAATACTCAATTACGCAAGAACATCAAAAAAAGATGGAAGGAATACACAGAGTCACTGTCAAAGAACTGGCCAATGTTCAACTATTTCAGGACGTAGCATATGATCAAGAATCAATGGCGCTGGAAGAAGTGCAAGCTGCAGTGTAGGCACTGATGAAAAAGCTCCAGTGATTGACGGAATATCAACTGAAATGTTTCAATAAACAGATGCAACACTGGATGTGCGTCTATGCAAAGAAATTTGGGAAATAGCTACTGATGGGTAGAGATCCATATTTGTGGCCATTACAAAGAAAGATAATCCAACAAAATGTGGAAATTATCAAACAATATCATTATTATTATGCATAAGTAAAATTTTGCTTGAAATAATCCAAAATGTTTACAGCGATACATCAACAGAGAACTACCAGAAATGCAAGCCAGCTTAAGAAGAGGAGGTAGAACAAGGGATATTATTGCTGATGTCACATGGATCTTGGCTGAAAGCAAAGAATACCAGAAGGATGTTTACCTGTGTTTTGTTGACTATGCAAAGGCATTTGATTGTGTGGATTATAACAAATTATGGATAACACTGTGAAGAATGGGAATTCCAGAACACTTAATTGTGCTCATCAGGAACCTATACATAGCCCAAGAGGCAGCTGTTCAAACAGAACAATGAGATACTATGTGGTTTAAAATCAGTAAAATTGTGCATCAAGGATGTATCATATTTATTCAATGTATGTTGTTGTTGTTGTTGTTATGTGCTGTCGAGTTGGACCCGACTCATAGCGACCCCTCCTTGGGTTTCCGAGGCAGTATCACTACTGAAGTAGCTTTCCCCAACCTTCCTTCCGAGGAGTGGCTGGTGGGTTTGAACCGCCAGCCTTCTGGTTAGCAGTCAAGTGCTTTAGGCACTATGCTACCAGAGCTCCCATTTAATGTATAAAGTGAGCAAATAATCTGAGAAACTGGACTATGTAGGAAAATGGGAAATCAAGGACAGAGGATGACTCGGTAACAACCTGTGCAATGCAGATGACACAACCTTGCTTGGTGAAAGCAAACATTTGAAGTATTTACTGATGAAGATCAAAGACTATAGCCTTTAGTATGAATTACAATTCAACATAAAGAAAACAAAAATCTTCACAACTGGACCAATAAGCAACATCATGATAAATGGAGAAAGACTGAAGTTGTAAAGGATATCATTTTACTTGGATCTAAAATCAACGCCCATGAAAGTAGCAGTAAAAAAGTCAAATGACACATTGCTTTGCGCAAATCTGCTACAAAAGATCTCTTCAAAGTGTTAAGAAGAAAAGATGTCATTTTGAAGACTAAGATGGGGCCTGGCCCAAGTCATGGTATTTTCAATCACATCACATGCATGCAAAAGGTGGATAAATGAATAAGGAAGACTGAAAATTAGTTGATGCCTTTGAATTATAGGGCTGGTGAAGAATATTAAATGTACCATGGACTGCTAAAAGAACTAATAAATCTGTCTTGGTAGAAGTACAGCCAGATCCTTAGAAGTGAGGATGGTGACACTTCATCCCATGTACTACGGAGATATTATCAGTCCGGGAGAAAAACAGCATGCTTGGTAAAGCAGAAGGTCAGTGAAGAATAGGAAGATCATCAACAAGATGGGTTGACACAGTGCCTGCAACAATGGGCTCAAGCACAGCAGTGTTCTGTTCTGTTGTACACAGGACTGCTATGCATTGGAACAAGCCTGATGCACCTCAGAAGAGCAACAAGTGAAGGATAGTTTTTTAACCTAAGATTTTCGTATTAGAGCTTTATACACAGTAGCATTATCTGGCTATTTTTAAATATGAAACTTAGTTTTTCACACACCTTTAAATTCCACTAACCAATGATGATGTCATGAAGAATAAAATGATAATGAAGGAAACATGAAATGACTTAATTACAAATGAGACAAATAATCCTGAAAATCCAGAGCATTTGTTTAGGATAAAGTTTAGATTCTTAACTCTAATCTTTTTGTATAACAAATCTCTTTGAAAATTTAATGAAAGCAAAGGACTCTGTGGCAAGCAGTTTCTGACATGGGTCCCAGTAATTCCCATCTCGTGGTATTGCCAACCTGTGTAATCACTGCCCTTGAGTGTGGATTGGATATAACAATTTGTTTCAAATGAACAGAACACAACAAAACTGAGTGTATGGCTTTTCTGTGATCAGATGACACAAGACCATGACTTCTGCAACTAGCACTCTCTCACTCTCTCACTTGCTCACCCTGACACAGCAAGCTGCTATATTGTAAGAGGCTCTATGAAGAAGCCAGTGGGACCAACAGAGGCCTCCAGCCAATAGTGCCTGAGAAACTGAGGCCTCCATCCAACAACTCACAAATCAGTGAATCCTGCAAATCACATGAGTGAGTTAGGAAGTGAATTCTTCCAGACTAGCCTTGAGATGCCCGCAGTCTTGTAAAAGACAGTGCCAGAGGATCCAACTAAGCAGCACCTGGATTATTGGCTCACAGATCCTGAGAGATGAAAAAATGGATGTTGTCTTAAACTACTAAATTTTAACGTAATTTGTTATAGAGCAATATATAACTAACACAGATCCACCCTGCAAAAAGGTACACACATGCACAAATTCTGGTATCCATTTCAGGGAACTTGGGGGCCTCTCTGAAATCCACCAGAACTCCTAGTGGCCCAGGGGCCCCAGATTAAGATTCTTCTTAAATTATAAACTCCAACCAATATGCATAAAACACCCTAAGGAAGTCAATGTAACCATACACTGTAACTTCCCCAATGTCAGACTACTTTCCTTCCATTAGGTACTACAAAGAAGGCTAAACCATTTCAAATGTAATTAATGTCTTAATCTTAGTACTATCAAAGGTAGAATCAAGCCAACTCATACCAAACAAATTTTTTTCAGAACAATATTATGTAACAGATACTAAAGTAAGTAATGAGGATAAAATAATGACTGAAACAATGTCCATAATTTTGAGAACTTTACCGTCTAATGGGTAATACACATACACAGAAAATACCTATCATACCATCTGGGAGTACAGATAGAGATTTGCAGAGGGTAGCTACTCATGTCCATAATAAAATGACTTTATTGAATTTTAATTTTAGAGTAATTAAAATGAATACCTGTACTGTTTTTCCAAGACCCATGTCATCACCAAGAATACACCCTCTTCCTTGGATGTAGTGTCCATAGAGAAACTGGGTTCCTTCCCTTTGGTAGTCTCTCAAATACCTATTAATAGTATAAGGAATACAGTCTCCATCTTCAGATAATTTAAAAGCAGTAGCAGATGATGGAAATTTTCGATCTGGGAAATAAGGTTTTTCCAAATCCTCATCATCAAATATAAAATTCCTGGAGCAATCTTTAACAGATTTCACTTCTTGAAGTCTTTTAAGGGGTACTTTCCTTTCCAGAGAATCTGAATATAAGACAACTGCAATTGACTTCCCATTTTCATCCACAGTAATAGATTTTATGCTTGCTTCACAAAGCTTTCCATTATCTGGAGAAGGGGCTAGGCATCTTTCTCCTGGACACCATCTGTCTACAAAAATAAGAAAATTAAGTTCAAATCTAGCACAAAAAGTAACACCCCATTTATCTATTGTTGAGAAAATTAAGTATTCCACATAAATACATTTTCCAAATAATTGAAACAAGATAAGTTATACTTATAACATTGTAAAGAATGGGAACTCTAGAACACTTAGTTGTGTCTTTTCAGAACCTGAACACAGACCAAGAAGCAGTCATTCAAAGGGAAGTTGTGAGGTTCAAAATCAGGAAAGGTGTACATTAAAGTTATATCCATTCACCACACTTATTCAATCTATATGCTGAGCAAATAATCCAAGAAGCTGATCTCTCTGAAGAAAAACATGGCATCAGAACTGGAGAAAGACTCATTAACAACCTGTGATATGCTGAACCTTGCTTGCTGAAAGTGAAGAGGACTTGAAGCACTTACTGATGAAGAGCAAAGACTACAGTCTTCTTCAGTATGGACTACACCTCAACATTTAAAAAAAAAAAAAAAAAAAAAAAACCCTCACAACTAGACCATTAGCAATATCACGGCAAATGGAAAAGTTTGAAGTTGTCAAGGATTTCATTCTATAAGGGCATTAATTTACATTCAACTAACCAAGGGTACTCTGATTTATCTACAGTGATGTGCATCAGCTTTTTCCCTTCTAGGTTTTGAGTAGTTGAGGTTCTAAAAAGAGATGAACGTTATAATTCTTCTAAGATTCTATTTTCTTTGAAGAACTGACTTCCTGCTCCCATCCCCTCTTCGTACTCTCTGTGTGTATGTGTGTGTGTGTGTGTATTCATTCCCTGGGTGGCACAAATACTTAACTGGTCACCTACTCATCAAAAAGTCGGCAGTTCAAACCCTCCCAGAGGTGTCACAGAAGTTAGGTCTGGTGATCTCCTTCCAAAAGGTCACAGTCTTGAAAATTCTACAGAATGCACTTCTACTCTGCACACTTGGGGGTCCAGATGAGTTGAAATTGAATCTCCAGCAACTAACAACTATAAACACATATATATATTTTGTTGTTATGTACTGTAGAGTCGGCCCCGACTCATAGCGACCCCTCTTTGGGTTTCCGAGGCGGTATCACTATGGAAGTAGATTGCCCAACCTTCCTTCTGAGGAGTGGTTGGTGGGTTTGAACCGCCAGCCTTCT